ACAAGGAGGACACCACTTTCCAGAAAGTATGGGATGCAGTAAAAGCAGTAATAAGAGGAAAATATACAGCAACACAGGTGCACATCAAGAAACCAGAAAGAACTCAAAGAAACAACCTAATCTCGGGCCTCCCCGGTGGCGCAGCGGTTGAGCGCTGGGTTGCGAAGCTGCCCACAGCCTCTGCGGTGCCGGTTCGATCCCCGGCTGCTCCCCGGCCACTGGAGGAGGATCCCACATGGTGCGCAGACCTCTCCTGCCGCCCGCTGCTCCCCTCAGCAGTGTATTTCGTCAGTCTGACTGCTCTGCTCTCCCCTCTGGCTCTGGTGAATTCTCTCACCCTCCCGTGCTTCTGACTGTGCTCAGTGCTTGTATAAATAAATAAAAAATAAATCTTTAAAAAAAAAAAAAAAAGAAACAACCTAATCTCACATCTCAAAGAGCTAGAAAAAGAACAACAAAAACCCTAAAGCCAGTAGAAGAAAGGAAATAATAAAAATCAAAGCAGAAATAAACGAAATGGAAATTAAAAAAAAAATCCAAAAGATCAATGAAACCAAAAGTTGGTTCTTTGAAAAAATGAACAAAACATACAAATCTCTATCCAGGCTCACAAAGAAAAAATGGGAGAAAACACATATAAATAAGATTATAAATGAAAGAGGAGAAATCACAGACTTAGTAGAAAGCAAAAGAATAATCAGAGGGCCTCCCCCGGTGGCGCAGTGATTGAGCGCTGGGTTGCGAAGCTGCCCTGAGCCTCTGAAGCGCCAGTTCCACCCCCAGCTGCAGGACAAGGGTCCCACATGGCATGACAGACCTCTCCTGCCGCTTGTTGCTCAACCCCTCAGCAGTGTGTTTTGTCGGTCTGTCTGTTCTGTTCCCCGCTCTGGCTCTGGTGAATTCTCTCACCCTCCCGCGCTTCTGACTACCCAGTGCTTGTATAAATAAATAAATAAATATTTTTTTTAAAAAAAAAAAAAGAATAATCAGAGATTACTATGAACACTTACATGCAAACAAATTCAACAACCTACAAGAGGTGGGCAAATTCCCAGAACGATATAATTATCCAAAGCTGGAAAAAGAAGAAATAGAACACCTAAACAGACCAATTACAAGCAGCAAAATTGAGGCAGTAATCAAAGCACTCCCCAAAAACAAAGCCCAGGTCCAGACGGCTTCACAAATGAATTCTACCAAACATTCAGCAGTGAATTAGTGCCTATCCTACACAAACGCTTTAAAAAAATTGAAAAATAAGGAATGCTACCAAATACGTTCTACAAAGCCAACATTACACTAATACCAAAACCAAACAAAGACAGCACAAAAAAAATTACAGGCCAATCTCCCTAATGAACACTGATACGAAATCCTCAACAAAATCTTTGCCAACAGAATCCAACAATGCATCAAAGGGATAATACATCACAGTCAAGTGGGATTCATCCCAGGGGCACGGCACAAAGATGGTTCAACATACGAAAATCGATCAGTGTAATTCAATACATCAACAAAAAGAAAAATAAAAACCTTATGATCATATCAAAAGATGCTGAGAAAGCATTCGACAAAGTCCAACATCTATTTATGATGAAGGCCCTTGAAATTCTCCGGATAGAAGGAACATACCTTAATATGATAAAAGCCACATAGGACAAACCCACTGCCAATATTATTTTCAATGGTGAAAAGCAAAAGACCTTTCCTTTAAGATCAGGAACAAGGGCCTCCCCTGGTGGCACAGGCGATTGAGCAAGGCGCTGTGAAGCTGTCCGCAGCCTCTGCAGAGCCAGTTCAATCCCAGCCAGCCAGCAAGGGTCCCACATGGTGCAGCAGACCTCTCCTGTCTTGCCTGCTGTTCCCCTTAGCAGTGTATTTTGTCGTCTGCCTGTTCTGTTCCCTGCTCTGTCTCTGGTGAATCCTCTCACCCTCCCGTGCATCTGGCCTGTACCACGGTTCTTTAATGCATAAATCAATCAATCAATCAATCAATCTTAAAAAAAAAAAAAGATCAGGAACAAGACAAGGATATCCTCTCTCACCACTGCTCTTCAATATAAATACTGGAGGTCTCAGCCAGGGCAATAAGACAAGAGAAAGACATACAAGGAATCCAAACAGGGAAAGAAGAAATAAAACTATCACTATTTGCAGATGATATGATAATATACGTAAAGAACCCTAAAAACTCCACAGAAAAACTACTCAAAATAATCAACCGGTTCAGTAAAGTAGCAGGATACAAAATCAACACACAAAAATCAGTAGCCTTCCTATATACAATCAATCTGAAGAAGAAGAAATCAAGAAAACCATCCCTTTTATAATTGAAAGAAAAATAATCAAATACTTGGGAATAAACCTAATAAAAGAGGTGAAAGACCCATACAAAGAAAACTATAAAACATTGTTAAAAGAAATAGAAGAAGACACAAAGAAATGGAAAGACATCCCCTGTTCATGGATCAGAAGAATTAACATTATTAAAATGTCCAGACTACCAAAAGCAATACACAGATTCAACACTATTCCAATAAAAATCTTAATGACATTCTTCAAAGAAATAGAACAAATACTGATGAAATTCATATGGAACCACAAAAAAACACAAATAGCCAAAGCCCTACTGATGAAAACAAAGGAGAAAGGAGGTATCATACTTCCAAACTTCAAGCTATACTACCAAGCCATAATAATTAAAACAGTTTGGTATTGGAACAAAATCAGACAGGGAAATGCAAATCACACTGAGATACCACCTTACACCAGTAATGGCACATATCAAAAAAACAAGCAACAACAAATGTTGGCGAGGATGTTGTGAAAAAGGAACTCTCCTACATTGCTGGTGGGAATGCAAACTCGTCCAACCACTATGTAAAGCTGTCTGGAGGTTCCTCAGTCTATTAAAAATGGAGCTACCATATGACCCAGCAATTCCACTCCTAGGGATCTACCCAAAGGACACATAACATTGATTCAAAAGAACACCTGTACCCCTATGTTTATTGCAGCATTTTTTACAATAGATAAAACCTGGAAACAATCCAAATGCCCAAAAAGAGATGACTGGATCAAGAAGATATGGCATATATACACAATGGAATATTATTTAGCAATCAAAAAAGATAAGCTCATGCCATTCACAGCAACAAGGATGGAACTAGAAGGAATTACGCTCAGTGAAATAAGCCAGAAGGAAAAGGAAAAATATCAGATGGTTTCACTTACAGCAAGAATATATGGGAACCAAATAAGACATCAGTGTAAAAAAATAGTAACAGTACAAAACACAACAAAGCAAAAACAGACAATTATAAATCAGAGACATCCTGCAGGGGAGGAGGAGGGAGAGGAATCAGAGGGAGGAAGAGAGGAGCACAGGGGACTGAGGTGATGGTGCACGGGTGCGTTGGTGAAGGAAACTATGGGGACTACACCTGAGGGGGTGGGGGGAAGCAAATATTGTTTGAAAATGAGCAATGATGTAAAAAAATAAAAAACTAATAAAAATTTTTAAAAAAGAAAATAAACAAGTATAGCTGGGATTAGTATATAAGATAGTTCTACCTCAGGTCTCATAAAATATTAAAAAAAAAAACGAAAAAACCAAAACTACTCACTTCACATACAGATTGATTTGCAAGGGCCTGTAATCTTAAAATGTTAAAACCAGTATCCTGAAAGTCTAGCTTCTCTTTTTTAAGCTCCAGAACCTTGATGCTTAATCATTAATATTCTGTTTAAAGTTAAAATAGCAACTTCACTGGTATTTTAAATAGCACTTTGAATAGTTAAAAATTTGCTAATTTATCAATCACAATTTAATATATTTTAGAGACTTAATTAAACATTAGCTAATCAGGCTTTTAGAAAATTCCACAGCATCAACTTTTTGAAATGCAAAGTCAATTTTGCAGTGCTTCAAACTCCTGCAAAAAAGATATTGGAATATATTCATATTGGGTTAAAATGTTTTTATCTAATAAAAAGTTAAAACACTTCAACCACAGAGAGTTTGGGGTTGCACTTCCTCTCCTTGAATCTGGGCAGAACTGTGGCTGCTTCAATCAACAAAACATTGTAAAAGTGACCTTATCAAATTCCTGAACCAGAAAATCAGTGAACCAATTAAAATGATTATTGTTTTATGCCATTTAATTTGGATTGTGCAAGACAAGTGGAACAGCACATGTGATTTTTGTAATTAAAACAAGCAACTCTTGTTCCTGATGGCTCCTCTTTTAATAGCACTGTGTAATCATATACACCCCACCCCAATAAAAGGCAGATGAAAATACACGAATATATACATCTTTTTAAGAGAAGAAAATAACATGGTTTCTCAATCACCTAATTATAGCCTAATATTCTGGTATGTTACGGAATTCAAAACACCCCTAACAGACATCATGGACACAGGTATATACATTGGCTTAGGCGTCCAAAAACTGCTTAGTTCTCACAGTTGACATGCAATTCCAGATAATTTTTCCTGAATGGTCTTGCCTTTAATATGGTTTACCCTAAAGCAACCATTTTTTTGATTACATACATAAAAGGATAGCTTTGGCTTTACTGATAATTTAGAAGATACCCATAGTGACTTAAAAGTCTCTGGACATTTTTCCTTTTAAGTGAGAAACAATTTCTGGCTCTCTGTATGTAATCTCAAAAAAAAAAAAAAAAAAATGACAGCTTTCTTGGGCCTCATCGGTATCTTACTTGAGTTGATCAGGACGGTTTTAAGGATTAAATGAGAGAAGAGAAAAATCCTAAACACAGTGTGAGGCACAAAAACGACAAAACATCTCTGAAAGCTAACTTTAGGACTCAAGACTATTGCTTAGTAGTCTCAGAAAAAAAAAAAAACCACATAATGACAGTAGTTATATGCATTTGAGTCATTTTTTACTTTAAGTCAGCTTTGATTGTAGTATGAAACAGTATCAACTTATGCTAGTAATATTTTCAAAATAGAATTTACAAATATTTACCTTGATTAAATATTTTTCCCATCTATCTGCTGTAACAGATTTGCCAATCTTCCTCATCAACTTCAAATGGAGTTCCACTAATTCTTTTGGTACTTAAAAGGAAGAAAAAAACACCGTTAGCCAGCAAAATAAAACATTTGTAAACATTTGATATTATTTAAAAAAAAACTTTCCTGAACTCTGAATACTTTGTCAAGTGCTAACTTTAGCTATCTTTTATGCCCCTGAACTGAAAACCATTTTCTTATAGATGAACAGAAACATCTACGTGTTCTTTCAAACCACGATCCAGCAAAAGCACACCCTAATGTAATGATGTGTCCATACAGAGTTATCAACTGTGATCAATGTACCAGTGTGGTGCAGGGTATTGACAGCGGGGTGGCCGGGCATGTGTGGGGGAGAATATATGTGAAATCTATGTGCCTTGTGTTCAATTTTTCCGTGAATCTAAAGCACCAACACACAAATTCCTAGAATTAGAAAACTAAGAGTTATGAGAGGGCTGCAAGCTGCTCCACTGCAGACTGGAGCAGTGTCTAAACCAAAGGAGCTTGTTTCCTCAAGTTCCTCTGGCAGTGATTCCTGACAGTGAGACTGACAAAAGTCAGAGAGGAAAAAGTAGGTTACCCCAGAAAAACCTGTTAAGGAAGCATGAGACTGGTGAATCTGCAAGAGCCTCTCACTCTCCAAACAGAGCAGCAGCAGAGATGAAAACTTGTTTCGGATTGGGGAAATGCCATAGTGGACTTTAAAGGAAAGTTTTAATTGATATTAGAGAATACTGGATGGATCCAGAAAGTGAAAAGAAAACATGAAGAAAAGATAATTTCTTAAATTGCAGCAATGGAACCAGCTGAAAGAACAAATTTCTGACACTGATGATGCCATAAGAAAACTGTAAAACCAGAGACACATGAAACCTATACTAGAAATGAGTATTTTCACATTGGCTTTTGTTTTCTAAATGCTATTTTCCAAACTACTCTATATTTGGATTAAAGAACAATTAGTAAAATGAATCTTTTAATGTGCATTATTAAAAATGTTCTGAGTGAAACTGTCAATTTCATTAAGAATTGCTTTGTGGGCCTCCCTCATGATGCAGAGGTAAGGTCTCAGCACTATGAAGCTATCCACAGCCACTGCAACACGAGTTCATTCCCAGCCAGGGAGCTTCCCACATGGTGCGGCAGACCTCTCCTGTCTCGCCTGCTGCTCCCCTCAGCAGTGTATTTCAGTCAATCTGCCTGTTTTGCTCCCCACTCTGTCTCTGGTGAATCCTCTCACCCTCACACCTCTGGCCTGTACCCCAGCTCTTGTACGCATAAATAAATAAAATCAATCTTTGGGGGGGGGGGAAGAATTGCTTTGTGCCCACCACTAGTGTAAAATAAAATCAGCACAATATTTAAGAAGAAAGAAAAGAAAATCAAGGAATATAAGTCCCAAATTCATGAGTATCCCAGAAACAGAGTCACTAATGGTTTTCAAACTGTTTCAGAAAACCACTCTTCCAATTTATCCCACATCTAATGTGCTAAAACTCCTCTGTAGTATCCCCATGGATCTTGGTTTGATGACCTTCAGGGACAGAAAATACTTAACTTCCAAAGTTCTAATTATTAAAAAAAAATACCACTTCATAAAGTAAAAATCTGCCGTTCTGCACACCTTCCTTCCATGTTTTTGCTCTTATTCGCTAGTTTCAAAGACAGTACACTTTCAGTTCTCCTATTGGAATCTTCAAATACTTGAAGATTGCTGTATCTCCCCGCAGGTCCTCTTTTGTAACTGTGAAAAACCCAGAGTTCCTCCAAATATCCCTTGGGCATGACCTGATAATGTTTAATTATATTAATTAAACCTGAGGGAAGGGAAATAAAAGATGCATACACCCATCAAACTCAGCACTTCCTAAATACCAAGTACTACTTGTAACCTAAGAGAAATTATACATGCAAACTACCTAAAAAGATTCCATAATCAAATATATTAGGATAATGCAAAATTTTAAGAAAAGGTTATTATGAACTATTTTTTTCTTAACTCAGGATTTACTGAAGTTTTTATTGATTCATTGGTCTTGTGAGCAAAGAGCAATTATTGATTTAAGCATGTTAAATAGGTTATATATTACTTGATTTCCTCACTGGAGCACTGATTTTCACATAACACCATCCAATAAAAATATAAGATGAGCCACATACTTTCAAATTTTTAGTAGTCCATTCTTAAGTAATAAAGAGGTCAACATTAATTTATACACTTTCAGTAATATATAACCCTAATGGGAGTTCAACATAAGTATTTTCAATTTCAGATATTTTATATCTTTAAGTATTCAAAATATATTGTGCATTTTATACTCACAGCATGTTATCAATTCATACTAGCCATACTTTAAGTGCTCAAGAGCCACAAATGACTAGGGCTTCTGTACTGGATGGACCATGTAGAGTCAGCATATTTAAAACTAAAATTTATAACCTCCAGTGTACTTAAAAAAAATTTTTAGATATAATACATTAGTTTCAGTTGTATAACATGGTGATTTGCAAAAGGTAATTGTATATATTACAGAAAATCACAAGTATAGTTAACATTCAACTTGTTTTTATTACAAACAGAAATGACATGCTGACAACTCTTATGGACACCAGCAGCTCTTAATAGTTAATATTTTTTCAATTGATAAGAAACAGTCAAAAACTTCAACAGAAAAATCAATGAACAATAGGTAAGATGATGCGAGCCGTCCTCACAGCAGTCTGCAATGTCCTGGCAGAGAAAATCTAAGGTATGAGAGGCCATGGCTTCCAGCATCTACTTCTAATCAGATGACCCTATTTTCTGTCTCTCCTCCTTGCTACTCAATTTAAGAATACTGAGGGCAGAACTGTAGGGGAGGTAGGAGAAAGAGAAAAAGGAACTCTCCTAAATTGCTGGTGGGAATGCAAACTGGTCCAACCACTACGGAAAGCTGTCTGGAGGTTCCTCAGTCTACTAAAAATGGAGCTACCATATGACCCAGCAATTCCACTCCTAGGAATCTACCCAAAGGACACAAAAACATTGATTCAAAAGAACACCTGTACACCCATGCTTATTGCAGCACTATTAACAATAGGTAAAACCTGGAAACAATCCAAATGCCCAGAAAGAATGACTGGATCAAGAAGAAGTGGCATATATATACAGTGGAATATTATTTAGCAATCAAAAAGATAAACTCATGCCATTCATGGATGGAACTAGAAGGAATTATGCTCAGTGAAATAAGCCAAAAGGAAAAAGAAAAATATCGGATGGTTTCAGTTATAGCAGGAATATAGGGGAACCCAACAAGACATCAGTGTAAAAAAATAATAACAGTACAAAACACAACAAAGCAAAAACCGACAATTACAAATCAGAGACATACTGCAGGAGAGGTGGAGGTAGAGGGATCTGAGGGAGGGAAGGAGAGAGGGAGGAGCACCGGGGACTGAGGTGATGGTGCACGAGTGCATTGGTGAAGGAAATTCTACAGGGACTACACCTGAGGAAGTGGGGGGAAGCAAACATTGTTTAAAAATGAACAATGATGTAAAAAAATTAAAAAGAAATTAAAAAAATAAAAAGAATCAGTGATGTGATAGCAGTTAAGGATGACTAGGGAATTTCCTCCCAACACTTCCTAATAATTGCAAGCCTAGTAAAAAAGTTGGAACACTAGTTCATCCAATTACAATTTTTTTTGGGAAACATTTTACATAAAGTACAATCATCAGGTTCGTTAATAAATGAACATAAAGCAGCAGCCAACCAAGTCAATGAAGGGAAGAACATGTCTATCAATTTGTTCATTTTTTAAAAGCAAAATCTACAACATTCCATTTAAACACATAATTCATAATTTAGAAAGATGCCACTACACACAGACATTAATAATAAAATCAAATAAATCTGTCTGTACCACACCTCATTTTTCATATTCTTCGTAATTTCAAATGTTCACATTTCACTTAAAAGTCTGAACTTAATTTTTTCTCATCCATAAATGAAGCAGTTGCACCAGATGAGCATGAGTCTTCCAGCTCATATTCAATGTCTATGTCTAGATATTGAGGTATTTATTTGCCTTATAACAACGGTCAAAAAACCTAAAATTTTTGAATTGAAAGCAAATATCCAATAGAATAGAATACTTAACATCTAAAATGTGGTGTGCATTGCCCAATACCAGACAGAAGTCATGCAAGAGTTAAAACCTCTTGCATTCCAATCCAGGGCACTTTTCTCATAAATATCAAAGGGATTCAGGAATAGTGCAGAATACCTAACTTATGACTCAAGTAACCCCTTCTACCCAGGTCTGTATCTGGATTTTGATCTTGGGATGCTGCTTCCTATGTACTACACTTCTAAATGTAATCCAGTTAGCAGTTGTGGCAAGAGCAAAAGGAATAAAATACCTAGGAATAAATTTAGCCAAGGATGTGAAGGACCTGCACAATGAAAACTATAAAACACTGTTGAAAGAAACCAAAGAAGGGGCCTCCCTGGTGGTGCAAGGGGTTAAGACGCATCACACTATGAAGCTATCTGCAGCCACTGCAGCACAAGTTCGATCCCCAGCCAGGGAGGTGACCCACATGGCACAGCAAACCTTTCCTGTCTTGCCCGCTGCTCCCCTCAGCAGTGTATTTCAGCAGATCCGCCTGTTCTGTGCCCTACTCCGTCTCTGGTGAATCTTCTCACCCAACGCATCTCTGGCCTCACCCCAGCTCTTGTATACATAAATAAATAAATCTTTAAAAAAGGAAAAAAGAAACAGAAGAAGACACATAAAAATGGAAAGATATTCTGTGCTCACGAATCAGAAGAATCAATATTGTCAAAATGGTTATTTTACCTAAAGCAACATACACATTCAAAGTAATCCCTATTAAAATCCCAATGGCATTCTTCACAGAAATAGAAGATAATATCCTAAAATCTGTATGGAACCACAAAAAACCTTCAACAGCTAAAATAAATGGAGATATCATGCTCCCGGACTTCAAATTATATTATAAAGCAACAGTAATCAAAACAGTATGTAGTACAA